CTGGTTTAAACCTAGACCGTTGTGTGCGGCGCCAGTGGTATGACGGAAAAATGCCCACGTTGGAGTCACCCGAAATGGTCACATCATGGATGCAACGGTCAAACGACTTTCCAACGGGTGTGGCTCTGTTTGCTGGCGTCCACTTTGTGCCCCATCTGGCAGTGGGCGGCTATGGGGGCGATATGAGTGTCGACACTGCCGCTCATGAGTATGCAGTTTACCATGAATAGATTATTTTATATAAGTATTTAGATGTCAATTTCACCATAATAACACTCTGTGTCCCATTAGTATCATGTTCTATCTGTTCCATTTATACCACGCGACCGAAACGTTGCTACTAAAAGACGACCGACTGTTGACACCGTTGAGCTACAATCTGATGCCACGGCTGGACCCGATCACCGGTCGCCCTAAGATGGCCAATATCTATACGGATGTGTTGACCCACTGGACAAACGTTACGGTCGCCGAAACATTTCACGTGGGTTTTGGCGAGTATTGCTCGATCTTTGACCGCACTGTAGTCGCCATCAATCGGCACCTGAATGGCGAGCGGCCAGTCCTGCCAAAGGCTATCCAAGAGTTGCCACAAATGGTTAAGATTATGTTTTTCCCGGCGTTCGCTTCGGGTAACTATACGTGGTTTGAGATGGAGTTGGACGGAGGCAGTGATGATTGTAACCCCGACTGCAAACCTGTGCCCAAATTTCAGTCCTATTCAGAGACTCCTCACGGCATACGTCTGATGAAAAACATGGAGGGCTTTGACTCCAACCCCCTGTCCGTCAACGGTCTGGCCCTCTCGCAGATGTATATGTTTGCTCTGACCGATGCACTCAATATGGTCGGCTACTGTTCCCCATTTATCCCTTAATATTGTATTATACTGTATAATAATCAATTTTAGCAATTCTTATCAAAATTTTTAATTTGTTTCTATTGAACAAATGGAAAAATACAAATAATAAAAGTGTGTAAAATATAATAAACTTAAAATATTTTAATCTGTATACAGTATTAAGACTCTTCAGGATTTCCCAAAATGTTTACTTTGCATATGTGTTTCCATAGATAATACATTATAATTCTACCCCCATTTACCCGATCCGTACCATTAAGCTATACTAATTAAGACGGCTATTAATATATGCAAACGTTGTGGCTGTGAATGCTTGAGCTCAGAGTTGGCACTTATCTAATTAAACAATATTAAATTTTATAATAAATAATTATGGTTAATCATATATTTTTATTATCACTTTGTACTGTTTAATTAAATTTAACACATTTTTATGGATAAAAATTAAGGTTAATTATCTTTGAAACATTTGGTAAAATAACAACAATTTTGTTAAAATTATTAATAAATCATATTTACATCAAGTTAACTAGACATAAATAAATCTTTTAGTGTTAATATTTTAAATTCTAATATTGTAAAGTATTGTAAATATAAATATTGTAAATATACACAGATTATGTTAATTAATAACACCGCTAATTGTTTGAACAATTTACTTTGTAATAATGTACTAAACATAAAATTCTATATGCACTAAAATTCTTGTAAATAAACACCTGGTAATAATAATAAAATTTCAGCTTTAACTCAAATCATTTCCTCAAATTTTGTGGTTTGATTTTCAATCATAATTAGTAAATATTTGTTTTTTGTGTCTATAATAATGTGAATACAAATCAAACAAAATCATTATGATAAAAATACAGTCTTTAATTATAGTGGTTATAATAGGCGTAACCATGGTCAATTCGCGGGGTATAATTATATTCAATTAAAATCGCAAAAAAATAATAACAATTATAAACATTTAGAAATAATTGGCAAACAGAGCGCTACTGATTGCGAGCGCCGGTTGTATGAGGACTGTCTCCTTCAGACGCCGATCACCGACGAGATGGTTGAGAGGGCCCGGCTATACCTCATCGACCGGTTCACCACTAATGCCGACATTAAGCCATCGAAGCCGCCCTGCGTTCAGCTGAAGCTGAGGCGCGACTTCAAGTGTATGTCAGAAGAGGAGCGCCAGAAGTTTGTGGATATTATACGGCGCCTGTATTTGGACCGATCGATGGATATGTTGGGTGATATACACGCCAGGCATTGGGGCACTGTTCACAAAAGTGCAGAGTTTTCACCCTTTCATCGGTACATTATCTATAAGTTGGAAGAAAAAATCGCTACCATTGATCCAACCGTAACTGTTCCCTATTGGGTGAGTATACTGTACTGTTACCGTAATACAACTTGTAATCACTAATTACATAGAAAAATACTTTAAATAATTTGTTATTTATATCACATTATAGTCAGATCCCTATGACTTTTCGGCGCCGGAAAAGTCAATATTATTTAAATATTTCGGTACTTATGGCCAACACGTGGACGGGTTTTGCGTAAAGGATGGTCTGTTCACTGGTCTAAACCTGACCCGTTGTGTGCGGCGCCAGTGGTATGACGGAAAAATGCCCACGTTAGAGTCACCTGAAATGGTCACGTCATGGTTGCAACGATCTACCGACTTCCCCACAGGTGTGGCACTTCACGGGGGCTCACACTTTGTACCCCATCTGGCAGTGGGTGGCTATGCGGGCGATATGAGTGTGGAAACTGCCGCTCACGAGTACGTATTTTATCATAAATAAATAACTAGATAATGATTTTACCATAATAACACTTTACTGTTCCCATTAGCATATTGTTCTATATGTTCCATCAGTACTACACTGAGGTATTGACTTATAAGTTGCAGCTAAAGGACGACCGATTGCTTACGCCGTTGAGTTATAACCTGATGAGCCGCGTGGACACAACGACCGGTGCCTATAAGACGGCCAATATTTATACGGATGTGTTGACCCACTGGACAAATGTTACGATCGCCGAAGTATTTCATTTGGGTTTTGGCGAATTTTGTTCAATTAGCGACCGAAGTGTACTCGACATCAATCGGCACCTGAATGGCGAGCGTCCAGTCCTACCAAACGCTATCCAAGAGTTGCCACAAATGGTTAAGACTTTGTTTTTCCCGGCGTTCGCTTCGGATAACTATACGTGGTTTGACGTGGAGTTGGACGACACCGGCGATGATTGTAACCCCGGCTGCAAACCTGTGCCCAAATTTCAGGCCTATTCAGACACCCCTCACGGCATACGTATGATGAGAGGCTTTGATGACAACTCCAACCCCCTGTCCATCAACGGTCTGGCCCTCTCACAGATGTATATGTTTGCTCTGACCGATGCCCTCAATATGATGGGCTACTGCTCCCCATTCATCCCTTAATAACACATTACTGCTGTTCATTCAATAACTAAAGTTGTATATTTGTTTCTTATAAAAAATGAAATATTAATTCAAACATAATTTGTCGTAAAATTGTTTTATTAAGCATTCATTTGTTACAAAAACTTGTGACAAATCTTGAGGTCACATACAGTAGTTTTAGCTTCTGATTGATGTCATATCACAGTCAGTGACCGGCGATTAGTCCTACGTTGGGCTTGAAGCCAATGGCCAGAGGGATGGCAGCCGTGAAGTACTGATCGAGTGGTTTGTTTATTTGAGACAATTGTTTATTTGGTATGAAATCGTTTGATATGTGAGTGAAGATTAGGCAAATGGGGGTAACTGTGTGTACATCCGGGCCAATGACACACATATGGCTTAACGTTATTATGAATATTCATGTGGTATTTAAAATTGTCAATACGACCGAACCGTTTGCCACACTCTGGCCATAAACACGGGAACCTCTTCTCACCCGTGTGTTGCAGTTTGTGTTTAAGGCCGTTAGCGCCCGTCCACTCACATCCCGGCCAATCGCACGAATACACATATGGCTTACGGTTATGGACTGAGACCTGATGTTTCATGAGCTGACTTCTAGTGAAGAACAACTCAACGCATCCATCGGTTGAGCACTTATATGTGGGCCCACTTTGGTGTCGGCGCCGGTGCTCTCGCAGAGCACTGCGAGTCGTGAATGTCTTCTCGCAACCAATGAAATCGCACACAAAACTTGTGATTGTGTTTGTGTTGTGTCTCTGCCTGTGATTACGTAAGTTGTCTTCGGAATCGAATCTATATCGACATCCATTGTAATCACATTTAAATGGTTTATCACTCGAATGTGCGCTCATTTCGTGGTTCTTAAGCGAACCTCTATTTCTATACTGTTTATCACATCCATTGTATTCACATTTAAACACACGGTTTGTCTGATGTCTATATAAATGTTTTCGAAATGATTCGTCCGTTTCAAAAGTCTTCTGACAATCAGTTTCCCGACATTTATATGAATTTGTGGTCAAATCAAACATTTTCTGTCTTTCTTTCAAATCTGGGATCAGAAGAGAAACACAAGATTTTGAACCACTTTTTGTCGGTTTCTGTCTTTTCATTGCATTCTTTGTCTTCGTTTCGACATAACTATCGTCTGATTCTTCGCCCAATTTTTCGACATAACTCTCGTCCGACTCTTCACTCATGTCTTCGTTTTTATCATTCATTTGTTTGGCATTTGTTTTAGTGTTAGTCTTGACTGAAGTCTTGTTATGCTTTGGTTTAATGTCTTCGACGACTAGTTTACGAATCACTCGCTTATGACTAGACTTTCGCTTCAATTGTCTTCTTTTGCGGACAACTCTTTCATCAATTGATTGTCTTTTTGTAGATTCACTCGACTCTCGATGACTGTCTTCGGCGATGAGTTTTTCAGCAATAGTTTCATTGTCTTCACATTTGTTTACCAATTGATCCAAAGGTTGAGATAATGTCTGAAAGTGTTGTTTGTCTTCACAATCGATAAGTGTTTCATATTTTGAGTGAATTTTAATTAAATGATCTTCACAATCGATAAGTGTTTCATATTTTGAGTGAATTTTATTTAAATGTGTTTTCAATTGATTTAAACATTTGTTTGCAAACAATAACTCATTTAAAAGTCGTTTGTTTTCAACCATTAATTCACACAAAATATCATTAATACTAATATTGAGTGACTTTTCACTAATCATTGAATCCATTATTGAATCCATTATTGAGTTATAAATACTTTTAATTATAATTAAATCCAAATTAAACCACAATTTATGTCAAAACAAATGCAAACAAAACATCAAAACATTCACTCATTTTTTGAGATTCTTATGCTTTAAGTGACAAAAATTACGTTCGCTTTGAATGCAAACTTCAATAAAGTTTTTAATTATTTAGAAAAATATATAAATTTAATTAAAATTAACATTTAATCTATAAAATAATAGCTTAATCAGTGATTCCGATTGACTCATCACTTAATTCTTAATTAATTGCACCAAATTTTAAAACACAGTTTTAATTAATAGTTAATAAATAATAACGTTCAATAAATTTATTAAATTGAATAAAAACTTCTCATTAATTAATTTTTATTTTTTAAATTACAAACAAATTATTTATTTGGTGTGAAATCTCTTAATATGTGAGTGAAGATTAGCGTTATTGGCGTAACTGTGTGTACATCCGGGCCAATGACACGCATACGGCTTAACGTTATTATGGATATTCATGTGTCGTTTAAAATAGTCGATACGACCGAACCGTTTGCCACACTCTGGCCATAAACACGGGAACCTCTTTTCACCCGTGTGTCGCAGTTTGTGTTTAAGACTGTTAGCGCCCGTCCACTCACATCCCGGCCAATCGCATCGACGGATTCGTTTAGATTTGGGCGCCCGGCTATGGACTGACACCTCATGCTTATGGCACTGACTTAGAGTGAAGAACATTTCATCGCATCCATGGGTTGAACACTTAAACGTGGGTTCACTTCGATGTCTGCGCCGGTGATAACACAGACCTGTGGTACTCGTGAATGTCTTTTCGCAACCAATGAAATCGCACACAAATTTTCTGTTAGTGTTGTGCGACTGCATGTGACTACGTAAGCAGTCTTTGGATCCGCTTTCATATCGACAACCATTGAAATGACATTTAAATTGTTTATCACTTGAATGTGTGGTCATATGACCCTTAAGTGCAGCCTTATTTCTAAACTGTTTATCACATCCATTGTATTCACATTTAAACACACGGTTTGTGTGAAGTTTATATAAATGGCATTGAAATCTAGCGTCTGTTTCAAAAGTTTTCTGACAATCAGTTTCCGGACATTTGTATGAATTTGTGGTCAAATCAAACATTTTCTGTCTTTCATTGAAATCTGGGATCAGCTGAGAAGATCTCGATTTTGAACCACTTTTTGTCGGTTTCTGTCTTTTGATTGCTTTCTTTGTCTTCGTTTCGACATAACTATCGTCTGATTCTTCGCCCAATTCTTCGCCATAACTCTCGTCCGACTCTTCACTCATGTCTTCGTTCTTATCATTCATTTGTTTGGCATTTGTTTTAGTGTTAGTCTTGAATGAAGTCTTGTTATGCTTTGGTTTAATGTCTTCGACGACTGGTTTACGAATCACTCGCTTATGACTAGACTTTCGCTTCAATTGTCTTCTTTTCCGAACAACTCTTTCATCCATTGATTGTCTTTTCGTGGATTCACTCGACTCTCGATGACTGTCTTCGGCGATGAGTTTTTCAACAACGGTTTCATTGTCTTCACATTTGATCACCAATTGATCCAAAGGTTGAGATAATATCTGAAAGTGTTGTCTGTCTTCACAATCGATAAGTGTTTCATATTTTGAGTAAATTTTATTTAAATGTGTTTTCAATTGATTTAAACATTTGTTTGCAAACAATAACTCATTTAAAAGTCGTTTGTTTTCAACCATTAATTCATCAAAAATATCATTAATACTAATATTGAGTGACTTTTCACTAATCATTGAATCCATTATTGAATCCATTATTGAGTTATAAATACTTTTAATTATAATTAAATCCAAATTAAACCACAATTTCTNTACTTTTAATTATAATTAAATCCAAATTAAACCACAATTTCTGTCAAAACAAATGCAAACAAAACATCAAAACATTCACTCATTTTTCAAATACTGTCACAAATAATGTCAAGAATTACGACAAAAATTTGCAAAAGTTTCAAACTTTTTGATGAGATTATGAAACAAGTGTTTCATTGAAAACATTGATTTATTTCTATACCCATTACTCCACTTATATTTGTGTTGAGTTTTAATAGTTTTTACACTATTTTCTCAAAACATTTTTATATAATTAATTTTACAATAAAATGTTTTTTAAAAATCAAACAAATTTTTTACTATTAGTTTAGTGTAGGTTTGAAAATAAATCCAAAAATGACCTCATTTTACAAACAATTAATACAATTTCTGTCAATTATATGCCTATTGATTAGTGAATGCATTTTACAACAGATTCAACTAATACCTGATATCTATCGAAATACTGTATGAATTGTGTATTAATTAAAATATATCATTATATTTAGTAAATCTAATTCACAATTATAGCCAGAATTAATACAAAGTCGAGGGTTTGTTGCCGAGAATTATACGGTGACCACAGATGACGGCTATATTCTGGGAATATTCCGTATAATAAATCCCAAGTGGAGGGCAAACACAAAACCTATACTTTTATGGCACGGAATCGGCACCAGTTCTGACTTATGGCTTGTCTTAAATGATGGCCAGTTGTCGGCCACCGGTGTCTATAGCGAACAAAACGGTTCAGTTGTTAACAATTGTGGCACAAGTTTGACATCTAATTTAGCGCTAACTCTGTCTTCCTGTGGATATGATGTCTGGTTAGGCAATACTCGCGGCAATCGGTACTCAAATACACACATAAATAGCTGTAATTTATATAATTTTATTATGAAATAAATTTAATTAAACAAATTTACATTTTCATATACCAAAGCTCTCGATAACTACTGGGACTATACATTAACAGAAACGGCTATTTATGACGTTAAGAATACCATTGAATATATTTTGAAATTCACAAATCAATGTAAGTTTTAATACATTTATCAATTACTTGAGCGTATCATAACTTTAAGTATTCATAGTATTTTAAATATATTTATCGTATTTAATTAATAATTTAATTGCACAACACTTAAGCCTCGATGCCATACGTGGGCCACTCTATGGGGACGACAACAATGTTTATCTTACTTTCACTGAATCCCGATTTTCAGCGTTTTGTCAAACCATTCATAGCTTTAGCGCCGATCGCTTTCTTAGGCCACACGCGGTCTATAGTGCGCTTAGAGACGCCTTTAGTGCCACTATTAAAGTAATATATCATAAAACAATTGCTAAATTTACCTTCATTTTTAACAATTTGAATTTTAAAAAACATCAGTTCGTTGGTTACACCGTTAGGTATGTCCACCAATTCGAGTAACTATATGGCTCAGTATATGTGCACCAATCCAATCACCAAGTACTATTGCCAATTTTCATATTACTCTCACGATGGCTATGAGCCGCACAATGAATGGCCGGTTAGTTATATCAACGCCTGTAAGGCCAAAGCAATCATCATTAATAATATAACATTAACATCATTAATATAACAATTTTGTTTTACATTTCCAGAATACAGTTGCCGTCTATTGGGCTAAAACGTCTGAATATGTCTCATCTCGAGTAATGATACAATTTGGTCAATTTATTATTGATGGAAAATTCCACGAGTTTGATTACGGCACCCGTCAAAACATACAGGTCTATGGCCAACCCATGGCACCCAACTATCCCTTACACAACATTACATCCAATTATATGGCTTTCTATAAGGGTAGTAATGACCTGATGGCGGACTTAACCGACATTGATATATTGGCCTCAAGACTGAAGGGTATGTCATTAAAATGTCATTTTATTAATTCAATATTTTGAGTGTAATTATTTTACATATTGTTATTTGCAATTAATATGCACAGTGTCGTTAGTGGACAATTATGTGGTACCATTTGCCCTCTTCAACCATAATGACTTTGTATTATCAAAAGCTGACAACTATTTATTAAATGGTCGTGTATTTCAAACATTGAATCAATTTTATATAAACGGATAGTTTTAGAGTAATATTACTTTCAAATTATATAAATATTTTATTCCACTTTTAATTTATTATAAAAATAAATACAATATTTATTTACAAAATGAGTTGATATTTAAATAATAGTAATAATCGGTAATTAAAAGTATAACAAATATATGTATGAAATGAATGGCAATAAAAATGTGCAAACATTTCAATAGTTGGAAATGGATTTCACAGTTTTGCGATTCTTCATCAGCTGTTGATAGTATTTCTCTCCGGTGTCGGCCTGTGTTG